CATTTAAAAAAAGAAAGCCATACTGGAAAATGAAGGGTATATCCACCCAAGGTTCTCCAAGTAGATCTGATCTGATGTGTAGGTGTCTGGACAAGCTGTGGGATAGTCAGGATGAATCTCACTGCAGTAATGTGCTGCCCACTAGACCCAAGTCGTCATCCGTAACACTGCTCACATATTTTTATAATTTCTCAAGGCCAACCTGCAAATGTCACGTTCCCTAACCATTATCAACTTTGAAATCTCTAATGAGACTCTTCATTTGAGAAGACAGTGTTTCAGTTGTCCTTGGAAGAGTCATCTCTGCATAGATGGCGGCAGTTCCTTTGTGTTCTCCACAATGCAATGTGTGTATGCTCAAGGAGTCATAGTAGAAAGAAGTTAGGTACCCTGCAATAACTGCAGCTCTTCAGGCTGTGCATTTGGCATGCACATGCCTAACCCTGCACTACTTCCCTCTGCCTTAAAGTCCTATACCCCAAGATTCCATAGTGGAGACAGTAGAAGCATATATTTGAATGCTTTCTTTTATGCCTGAATGCAAAGGATGATGGAAAAGTATGATGTGTACTGAATGGACTCTAGTAACCAAAAATCTCTAAACCTAAACATATAAAGCACATGCATATCCACAGTGGGAAATACATACAAATAGCACATATTGAAGAAATTCAGTTCTTGTAAGGTAAGTACGGTTTCTCTTTTGTGAACCACTTCTATTATTTCATAAATTTGCCACTTTAAAAATAATGTTTAATGTATAATTAATTAGTATGTCTAGATTTTTTTTACTCTAAAACTGGAAGGCAGAAAAAAAACTCCATCACCATGTTTACTTGCTTTCTTCAGCTCCTGTTCGAGAAAGCTGTTCATTTCCTCAGTTTTCTTCCGTCATTCATTTTCCTGAAGTCTACTACGTCCTTTATTTCCCAGAAGTTGCTGTTAGTCTGTTTTGTAATGATAGGATAGATATTTCTCTAGATGGTAGATAATCTGAAAAAGTTAAAACTACAGGCATGACTGTCAAATTTAGCACTGTTGTCTTTCTCTTCCACTTTATCTGCCATATTTCTGTCCCCAACACAAAAACTAACGAGGCACTGATTTTGTAAAGGTCCGGTGTAACTATTAAGCAGGTATTTCTTAGACCCCCAGATCTTCAGTGGCTCCCCGTGCTTTACTTGCTTTTCTAATCTTTGCATTTATCTCCCTTCAGATCTCAACATCTGCTGCAATTTGACTGCCCAGGTTAGTGAAATTTTCCCCCTTTATCCACTTCTGTAATTATCCTGTGCACCCATTTCTTCCCCAGTATTCCTCGATGTTGATCTGGCAGTATTTATTCTTGACTAGATTGTCCATTTTTGGATATGGGGTGGGGCAAAAAAAAGGGAGAAAATTATTTTCCTGCTTTATATTTGTAATTGTTATGAAAGTATATGTAAGCTGTATTTTCCAAAGAAGTATTGGAGAAGAATAAAAATCATGTACAGAAAAAATAGAAACTGGAAAGAAGAAATCAAATTATTTGACAGAAGTAAAAGTAAATAAAAGTTTACTGGAAAAGTATTATTTTAGGTGGTAGGTATACGCAGGTATATGCAATAAGTAGCTGTTGAAGGAAAAGAGCATAGCAGTCTTCCTCAGGTCTATGCAGAATTAGGAGACTTGAAAGGGATGTGAGTTGTATTACGATTTCCTTTGTATCTGTCTCTAACCGCACACTTGTTAATATACTTTTGAATAATAAAAAACCATTCCAGTAGCAAGCAGGGTATACAGTTCAAAGTTAGAGAATAAAGTTCTAAAGTGAGTTCTCCTGTTTTTTTAGAAAATGCTATATTAATGGTGGAGCTCAGCCTTGTATCTTTGGGTGCTTGAACTGAACTAAAATCTTCAACCTTCGCAAGTCTTCATAAACCTCGGATCGCAATTGACTTTTTCCTACTATCCTCATACAGAATTAAGTGAAGAACTTTCTTTCAGTCAAATTCAGACCGGTTTTTACGTGTTCAATTTCTGCTCCAGGAGCATTTTTCTTTTACAAAATCCTGGAACCCAGCTCTTCCCTTTCCACTTGGTTGCCTTTAATCGTCAAGCCATGGTTTATTATTCAGGCTCCTTTCTGCTGATTGAGTTAATACTTAAGTCATTACTACTGAGTACAGTATTTCCTAGGAAAAGGGAGATGTGGTTTGGGATCCCTCCGGGCAGAAAAGGGAATTGAACATAAATCCCTATATCCTGAGAAAGGGCTAGATCTCTGAAAAAGAGGGAGGGGGATGCACTATCGTTATCATCTTTTTGTTGTGTTTTAAAGTAAAATATAACTACTGCTCCATTTTATCTGAACCCTGGTCTGGTAGACATGTAGCGGTATATTTGGGAATGCCTTCTAGGATTGAGACTCTTCAGAGAAGGTTTTTCTGTGTATCCCCAATAGAATAAGACAGACACTTCTCTCAGTCCTGTCAAAGCTGAAGCGATTATGAACATGTCCACTAGTAGGTCTCTAAAGTTAAAGCGTTATGGATGCCCTCAGAATTACGTGGCAGCCGAATAGAGGCTCGGGAAATCTGTATTTTGAATTTACCTGCCTAAGCCCTGTGGTTTGTAGTCCTAAGAGTTGATAAAGGTAGCACAAGTTCTGTTGTGGAGTAAGGAAGTCAACCTGTCTAAGAAGATTTGACCATAGTGTTGCAGCATTTTCTGGCTGAAAAGTTATGTAAGTAAATGAATAAACCCCTATATTTTTCACCATTGAGCTCGCTCCAGGTTAGTTGTATTTAGTGCTGTTCCTCAAGACATATAACAAAAAAAAAATTAAGTGTGTTCATAGATTTTTAGGTTAAAAGGGACTACGACTACACCTGCTTTCCTTTCTGACACAAACGAATCATACAATCAAATCCACTAATGTTATTGCTAATTCTACTGTTGCTTTGAAAAATTATCTTGAAGTACAGCATTATTATGTAAAATGGAAACTGACCTTTTTACAAAAGCTTTAATTTAACTCTTGATTAATTGTTCCTAGGCTAATTGCTTTCCCTGATAGAAAAAACCCACTTATTTTCATGCTGATTTTTGTCCAGCTTCCAGTGTTTGTCTTTGTCATCTATCTGAGCTATGTCATGAAATAAAGATAACGAACATATTTAGTTTTTCAGTAGGGCAGATTCCAGAGACCTTGAAGGCTCTTGTAGCTGTCCTTCAGAACCACCTTTTTCGGTTTGAGGGGTATTGCGTTACTTGACTTGAAGCACCTTCCTTTCTGACTGACTAGCCCTTATGGTCTGAAGAATGAGAACCTCATCCAGAGAGCACTTTGGAGCGTCTGGGTCAGGCTTCTGAACCGCATCTCAAAAAGCATCCTTTTTTCCATCGATTAGGAAGACTAGCTGGCTAATGTAGGCATCTTAAGAGAATACATTCTTCTGTGAAGTGTGAATACCACAACTAGCACAGTAAAGGTGTTGCTAATGTTCTGTTACAATGGTATTGACACTTCCCTTTTTCCATTTTACTACTCCATTTACTTGGTTAATACACAGCAAGTCCTATTTGTTCTCTCACAAAGCGAACTGAAAGTTTACATTCAGCTTGCTATCTATGGTGCCCCAAAATATGGGTTTATGATTTGTTTTTCAAAATACAGTGCACACTTCTGTAAATGTGACCTGTATTCTTGTGCCTAGATAATATGGCTTTGTGTTTACTGGCATTGAAACACACGGTCGGGTAAGTTTGGCTTAGCATATGACGAAGATCACTCTAGAACTGACCTTGATATTGCTAAAATTCAAATTTCTGATCTTTTCAAACTTTAATTTTGCCTTTACTTTCTTCCAGATCTTTGACAAAAGTACTGCATAATATTGTGCCAAAAGTATTTTTCTATATGCTCTGTATTTTGAAGATTTTGATTGATGCATAAATATTTGGTTTTGATAAAAATGGTCACCTGTGATGATGCTGTGTAGATTGTTCTTCATTCTCATCAGTAATTAATGAAGATTAAATTTGCGTTAGGTTGATCTGTGAGAAGCTTGTGAAATTAAACTGAGCTTTGAAGCTTACAGAAATATGCAAGGCAAATGCCTTTATCTCCAGTCTGGGTACGCTCTGAGCGATAAGACGGTACTCCAAGAAGCAGGTGATACGTGTTGCTGTGTAAACAAAACTGGCAGATTCATGTTGATTTAATAGAAGTAGGCAAAGATGACAATGCATTTTATGTGAAATGGATTCTCCTAGATTATTGTGTGTTTTGGCAGAAGTCGTCTTTCCAGTCAGTCAGTTTCCTTCATCACTTGAGGAGCAGAATTTTGAACTCAAAGGCCTAATGTAGTTTATTTTTAAAGTGGATAGCAGTAGATTTCAGTTTAATTTAGGAGTCCATTTTATTTAGTACATTTATTATGTAGAGATAACCACAAAAGATGTGTGATGTAAAAATACAGAAATTGTATATCCCTTTTACAGTATAGCCTTTTAAAAATGAATACTAGTTGCTGCTTTATAGCTATATAGTCTACATGATAAAGTTTTGTTTTGTGGAAAAAAGTACACTTGAAGAGTGGAAATATTAGCAATAGGGTTTTTTGTAAGTACGATGGCTACTCAACTGAAAAAAAAGTCATTTAAAGCATAAAGAAAAAGAGGACAGAATGTTTTTGAGGATATAGAGGAAGTCAGCATTGATTCATTCCAATTGATTTCTTCAATATTGAATAAATGGGTAGACATCGACACTAAAAAACTTGTTGGCAGTGTAATATCTGCTGGAATATATATTTCTGCAGCATATCTGTGCCAGCAGATGTCTTGGTGTCGTCACAGTTCTGCTAGATAAATGTCTCTATTTTACTTGAACTGAGAAAAGTACGTTCTCCTGATAAGCTGCCTCTGTGCTAGAAACGGAACCAAAGGTCGGGAAAAAAGACTTAGCACTCGGTAATGTTCATGTGCAACACACTTATTACACATTTCTATTTTCATCCAGAAAAAAACACAGCAGAAGAGAAAATAAATTATTGTGTCTTAACAGATAACTTTATTTTTGTGAATGAACTTAAAATTCAAATGAACCGGTATCTGAAGTATTCCTCTGCACCTAACTGATCCAACAGTTCTATGAAATTTACTTTACAGCTTCCTGTTCACTGCGGTGACTGAGCTGCCTCAGGGTAGTTCAGACTTCCTTCTTGTTTTGTCACAAGAAGTGACTGGACAGGGAAAACTTTACTTGCCGGGGACGGATGATGTTCGTCAGTCAGCCGTATAAATTAGACTGTTACGATAGAGCTTGTCTCAGAATTGTCAGAAACTAAATATATGCTTTCTGTAGTATTTTCAGCATTGTTCTAATTTAGGCAATAATAATAAAGAAAATAAGGTGTTTAACTGAAGAATTACAGCACCGTAACTAATAGTTCTTTGTTTAGAGAAGCACTCCTATTAAGACATATTTGCATTTATTTCTGGACAAATATCATATGGTATTATTAATTTAGCTAGGCTGGTAAGTGTGACCTTGTATTTGTTTCAGAAGTCAAGGCCAAGGCATTATCATCAGGATACAGAATATACAATAGATGTATATATATTTTTAAGTCAGGGAAAGACTAAACTGGACATGTAGCAGCAGACTCATGTTACAACTTCAGTTATTAAGCATGCTGAAAAAAATTAATCCATCATATAAGTTTTTAATTTAACATTATAAAAAGGGTGAATTTGCTCTGTTATCTTTCAGTAGCTGCTCTCCTATTAGCCGCTTTGAGAATCCATGTTAAATTGTATTTTAAACAATTAACCAAATACATTTTTTAAGTCTGGTGCATGCAGTGTTAATCATTAGTGACTATTGGAGTATTTTCCTGTTACTTTGCATATTTTTACAGGAAACTTTGATCCATTGTTTTGCTACTTCGTGATGTCTTAATCATGGCATAGCATATAACACATTTGTTTTTAATTACATGTTATAGCTTGATTAAAGAACATATTTTATCACATTAGTAAATGGTGCCATGAGTTGAAAAGAGTCATTTATGTTATACTTCTTTTTTTCCCTTCTAAACTGAGTAAGAGGTGATGTCAGGAAATTGCTTCCTTCAGCTTATTTTTAATCAGATGTACAGTGGAGTTTTACCAAACTAGATCTAAAAAAACAAAACCAAAAACACCCACCCTCAGGTTATAAGCAGTCAGTTAAGTATTAGTTTGTGTCTGTACTGTAGACT